TCAGCCGAATTCGCTGAAATTTGGTACATTGGGTTCTTATTGGATACTAAATATCTCCACAAAAAATTATAAGTATAGGTCCATATTTTCTGGTAGCCCCCATATAACGGAACCTCCTAATTTTCAGTATTTTGGGGGTTTTGGTCGTATTTTTCCCGCCGAATTGGCTGTAATTTAGTGTTTTGAGTTCTTAATAGGTACCAAATCTCTCTACAAAAAATTATGTATATAGGTCCATTTTTCGGGTAGCCCCCATATAAGGGTACCCCCAATTTTTCGTATTTTCAGGTTCTTGAGCACGTTTTTCAGCCGAATTCGCTGAAATTTGCTACATTGGGTTCTTATTGGGTCCTTAATGTCTCCACAAAAAATTATAAATATAGGTCCAATTTTTCTGGTAGCCCCCATATAACGGTACCTCCCAATTTTCAGAATTTTGGGGGTTTTATCGTATTTTTTCGTCGAATTTGCTGTAATTTAGTATTTTGAGTTCTTAATAGGTACCAAATCTCTCTACCAAAAATTATTAATATTCGCCCCCTTTTTGGGGTAGTGGCCATATAACCCCCTTTTTATACCCTCCACCATAGTATGGAGGGTATATTAGTTTTGTTTTTCCGTTTGTAACGCATCGAAATAATCATTTCCGACCTTATAAAGTATATATATTCTTGATCAGCGTAAAATTCTATGACGATCTAAGCATGTCCGTCGGTCCGTCTGTCTGTTGTTATCACTCTAGCGTCTAAACGAATTGAGATAGAGCGCCAAAATTTTGCATAGAGTCGTCTTTTGTCTGCAGGCAGGTCAAGTTCTAAGATGGGATATATCGGTCCACGTTTAGGCATAGCTCCCATATAAGGGTACCCCCCAATTTTCCGTATTTTGGGGTTCTTGAGCGCGTTTTTCAACCGAATTTGCTGAAATTTGGTATATTGAGTCGCTATTGGGTTCCCAAGTTCTCCACAAAAAATTATTCATATAGGTCCATTTTTTCTGGTAGCCCCCATATAACGGTACCCTCTAATTTTCAGTATTTTGGGGGTTTTGATCGTAGTTTTCAACCGAATTGGCTGAAATTTGGTACATTTGGTTCTTATTGGGTTCCAAATATCTCCACCAAAAATTATAAATATAGGTCCAATTTTTCTGGTAGCCCCCATATAAGGGTACCCCCCAAATGTCGGTATTTTGGGGTTCTTGAGCGCGTTTTTCAACCGAATTCGCTGAAATTTGGTACATTTGGTTCTTATTGGGTTCCAAATATCTCCACCAAAAATTATAAATATAGGTCCAATTTTTCTGGTACCCCCATATAAGGGTACCCCCCAAATGTCGGTATTTTGGGGTTCTCGAGTGCGGTTTTCAACCGAATTCGCTGAAATTTGGTACATTTGGTTCTTATTGGGTTCCGAATATCTCCACCAAAAATTATTAATATAGGTCCAATTTTTCTGGTAGCCCCCATATAAGGGTACCCCCAATTTTCGCTATTTTGAGGTTCTTGAGCACGTTTTTTAACCGAATTCGCTGAAATTTTGTATTTTGTAGTCGTATATGGTAAAAAATTTCCCTACAAATAAATTTTAATATGCACCCCCTTTTTGGGGTAGTCCCCATATAACCCCCTTTTTATATTGAAATAGTTATTATAAGATTATTGTAGTCGCGAATCTGCGTAATTTGATATGTATTTTGTGTATGTAGTATGCACAGCTTCAGAGTAATACTCATCCGAAGGTGGAAATTTTGTGCGATCAAATTTCTAAAAAACCTATTTTTCGGGCTAAATTTTTAGATCTGTCAACTGAATGATATGGGTACCCTCGATCTATAAGGTTTTTTACGTTTCGGATGATATAAAATCTTCTTCGTGAAAATCCATCTACTAGAACGGCGGGAACTGTTCTTCCAAAAACACGAAATTTGGCAAAAAATGTTTTTGAAAATATCGCGGATTTATTTGCGTTTTCTGTGTATCATTTCCGCTTCAATAAATGACCTCATACGGATTTTGATCTTTTTCGAAAAGAGAACTTTAAAAACTTCAGCCGAAAGAGAGATGTACGCAATTTATCTCGAAAATAGATTTTGCTGGCACATCCATGGTTCTTAATGGACCACATTGAAATGGTATATATCGATGTATTTTTTTAGGGTGCACACCAAAATCGGATGTGCGTTAATGGCATATGGAGTTTTCGGAAATTATTCGCGTTTTACGGTTTTTTGGGTACTTCAATGTAACGTGCGGCACATCTTAGCCGTCAAATGAAATTTCGCAAAATATATATGGATTGGAAGATAAACTTCAGTACTTCCTGGAAACCGAATGCGCATCAAATGATTTTGAGAATTACGCGATTTACACGCAATTTAAAATGTATATTTCATAATATTATTTTATTTTAAGATTTATTCCTATTTATAGAATTCTAAGAATTATCGGAAGGGTCTTGATATAATCCGCAAGGCGTATACTTATACACAAAAAGTGATTATTATTATATATGTCAATTTTTCGGCGAAATTCGCGTAAAATAGCAGAATAGCCCCAACATTTTTTTCTGAAATTTCTTGTATACAATTAAAAAAATAAATATGATGACATTATTTTTTCGAACCAAAAACAAATATTTTTCCTCGATATCTTGTTTTGTTGTCGTTGTGATTTAGAAACCGCTACACGGACTTGTGTGATTTTGATATCATTTGATTCATCATGGTGTTTAGATTATGCAGATATTTTTAAATTATTTTTTAGGTGTGTGTATGTCATTAATATGATGAAAATATTGACTTAATCTCCTACAATTTTATCATTTTTCTCATATTTCGCGAAGATGTGCAACTTTTACGCGATTATTATAATATATTAATATTCTTATTTTACGGAGGAAGATATATATCTACGTTTTTGGTCAATATAATAAACGACGTAATTTTAAGATTTTTTTCTTATGCCCAAAATTAAAACCTCGATAACCTTTGCGCGCATCAACAAAAAATTTGATCGCGAACGGATTCGGAGTAACCAAAAATCATTGGTGTGCCACAAAAACAAAAAAAGCTGATTTTTTGAAAATGGAATATTAAAAAATTGGCGATATTGCCCATATATAAATCTGAACCGATTTTCGCGAAACTTTAAGCACATCATTCTAGAGTTAATTCAGTACGCTATTTCGTGCAATTCGAAAGATATATAGGAACTTTGTTGTACCATTTACACTAACTTGGACGAAAATATATATGGGAGCTATATTTAATTTGAACCGCTTTTTACGAAACTTTACACACACCATTTCACACTTAATTCAGTATGCTATGCCAAATATCGTGCAAATCGAAAGATTTATAGGGACTTTGGTGATCATTTACGTTCAATCGGACGAATATATATATATGGGATCTATAGAGTAAGTGATGCAAAAGTGGTATAGGTTGGTAATGTGGTGTAGTCACTTTTTTTGTAAACGGAAAATTTTAGTATAACTGAAACATGTTCTTTAGTTTGCTGTCCTCAAAAAATAAGATAGCAATGATCTGTTTAATTTAATTAAATCACATTGAGAATCAGAGCAAAAATTAAATTTTTCATGAAATTGACTTTTTCGGTCGAAGTTTAAAAAAAATTCAGTAAACACAATTGCAGGTAATGTGGTACACTTTGAGTCTGCATGAAAAAAACGCCAACACGAGACAAGATATCATTACTATTTGAAATATTTGTCCTCTACGAAAACCTACCATGAATCGCAAAGGATGAAAAACGAAGGCTACAAGTTCTAACAACATCTCCATGCAAAAATTAAATATTGCCATGTGTAGACATTATTATATAATAAAAATTAAACGTATCCGTTAAAAATATTAACATACATAAATCAATAAATTAAATATGATATCAATTGGAAGTGAAAATTATACCATACCACATTAACATCATATGGTATACCACATTACCTGCACATTTTGTAAAATCACTTTTAATGGTATTTTCAAATATTTTCTCAAATATCTCTTAAATTGTTAGTATAATATTATTTTCAAATTGATACATGGAAAGACAACACATGTAGCATGTTAAGTGTAATCGGATAAAAAATAAAAATTTGGCACTCTAAAATCAAATGGGTATACCACATTACCATCACTTACTCTATGTATATGTGACCAAATTTTCCCAATTTCAATAGGGTTCGTGCTGGGGCCAAACAAATAAGCTGTGCCAATTTTAATCCAATTCGGATCATAATTGCGACCTGTACTTTGTTTACAATTTAACATGGACAGACAGACGGAAGGACGGGCATGCATAAATCGACTCAGAAAGTGATTCTATGCATATTCTCAAAAGGAACCATGTGCCTATCTCGTTTCCTTTTGCCTGTTACAAACATATGAACAAAAACATAATACCCTGTACCACAGTATGATGAAGGGTATAATAACACATTCTAAGCCAATAACAGACCTCGAAGGTGGTTTAAGCAAAAAAGGCAAAATATCAATGTAATGTTATGGCCACCTAATTCATCCGACCTGTAGCATACATATGAACTATTGTAGAAGAGCGTATTGATCGTAATAACGTCTAAATGACCAAAAAGTCCACTTTACGATCATTCGATTTTGTCAAACCTATTCAATTTACTTACCCCTACTGAAGATGGCACTAAAAAGAAATTAAAATAAATGAGTGGGTTTCCTTTTGATTTGTAAGGAATAAAAAAACTGTATTTTAATATTTTGTGTATTATTTGAGTCAATTATCAAAAAGCTATGTTAGTTGCAAATGTTTAGTCAGATACTGTGTTATGCTTTGTATCGCTAGTGTATCTTGAATATATCCAAAGTGGTGAAGGGTATCATATAATAGGCCCGACCAACTTTTATATATTTTTGATATATTTTCGTCTAATAGCAAATTTATTCACATTACACATTGTAACAAATAAATAATACACATACGTACAAATAATTAAGACAATTTCTACATTTAACTAAGATCAAATGCTCCACGATATTTAAGCCATGGCAATATGGCTTCCATGTGTTTACGATAACGATCATTAGAATACATGGCCATCTTAAAGGCCATAGCTTCATCATTATCACCCCAGAAATTTTCCATATTGGCATCTTTGGTGGGATCCAACAGTACAGCGGCCATAATTCCCATTGAAGAAAATAAACCCCAAATGCCATGCCTAAATAGCGAACCATGAATATCCTTTAGTGTTGGTAATTTCTTTCCATATTTCAGCAATTTCAAATTTTCATAAAGATGTTCATGATAGAAACGTATGAAATAATCAAAATGACTCAACTTCAAATCATAATTGGCTGATGATATAATAAAATAGTATAGATCCTGTGCCGGTGTACCATATTTGGGTATTTGATAATCGACCAAGAAGGTATCTTTGATATTACCCAATTCATCGTATTGAAACATAATATTATTGGACCAACAATCACCATGATTTAGAACATTAAATTCGTTGGGATCGATTTCAATGGTTCGATATAAAGCATCGTGCATTTCTGTTTGAATGGATTCCTGTAATGAGGTTGGGAAAATATTTGAGATTATGAGTTAATAGAAAAGTCTATGCGAAAGTTTTTTCAAATTTAGATTTTCAGTTGACCTATCAAAACGAAAATATTAATATTTTGTCAATATTAATTTATATCGTCATTGAGAAGCTCATTTGAACATTTCTAGATTTTAAAGAAAATTTTAAAGTAATCTATTTTACAAAATTATAAATTTTGTTGTGTTTTGTGTTTTTATTTAAAGGGGAAACAATTAGATTTCGCCTCGACAAAAAATTAACGTTAAACTTAATAGAAGCAACTGTTTTCTCTATGGATTCGCTTACTGGCCGCCCTTATATAGGTCTTGCCTTCTCGATAAATGCTTTCAAGTGTTAGGGAGGGGCGAATTTCTTTGATTTTCAGAGAGTGGTTCGAGTTGAACAATGTATAAAAGTCGTTGTTCGCTCAGAAAAATGTTGTATTTTGAACTCAGTAATAATTTCGACGCCAATCTCTACACTAAGTATCCCTATTTGGTATAACAGCTATCGATAAAATCGAGATGAAGGATTAGAATCGAATTAGATTGACAAATTTTATCTATCATATTGTGATGAGTATAAAAATCCCTTTATTTTAATAACTTACCATTTCCTTATAATATATTTCATGATTTGAGTACTTTTTAATGCTAGTCATAATCAGTGAAATCATATTATTATGCATTGACTTGATACTTGTTTTCGATTCTTTACGGAAAAATCCATAACGATATTTATCATCATATCCACCATTTTGCTCAGCATATACAGCCGAGGCGGCATGCCACATTGCCATTTTGCGTAGTACTTGTTGCATATGCTCCATATTAAGACCTTCCAGACGATTGATATTTTTAAATCCTTTGGGTGTTAAATTCTCCAAGAGAATATATGCCTCATTGGTGGGCAATTCATAAAAATTGGGACCAAATGTAATCTGCACACCCGCATTGGCATAGAGCTTTTTAAATGCAGGTACTATTGTCGTATACATATGCTTCTCTATGTCGAACATTCCGTCTGCATTTAACATTTCACGCACCAATTCATTGTCGTGATTGATTTTTATCATATATGATATTTGTTTTGTCGCGCCATCTGAAAAATATTAAAAGAAAACTTAATTTAGTAGAGAAATTGTATAAAAATTCGAATGTTTCCCTATGGCGCTATACCTAAATGTTCACCAATTTTGAATGAGAAACTTTACCAAAAATCAACAAATTTAAGGAATGAAGTTTTCTATCCACTAACAATTTTAAAAGCTATTTTACATCCATATCGGTTGGAAAGGGGTAATCGTTGTATGGGAATATATTAAATGAATGAACCGATGCAGTCCATCTTCGAACTTTACCTGCCTTAAAAACAAATTGTTGTGCAAAATTGTTGATTTGTATCTCGTGTCTAGAGTGATTACAACAGACGAACGGAAAGGAATATGTCGTCATAGAGTTTTGTTCTGACGATAACCTTCAACAATCTAACATAATATACATATATATTTATTTTCCAGTTATGTATAATTTTCGAAAAAATATCAATATTGAATATAAATTCTTATATTTTATATCAATTCTCAACATAACCGTGGCATAATTTTCCCCAGCTCCGCCAACTGGTTTGACTTAAAATGTTTTACTTGTCTGAAAACCATTTACAGTACTCCTTAGGACATCTTCGAAGAGATTTGCTTGGATTCATATTGGATTGGAATCAATAACGGTGCCGTTTGCGTTACCAGTCATTTTTATACCCTTCACCACACTGTGGTACAGGGTATTATGTCTTTGTGCATATGTTTGTAACAGGCAAAAGGAAACGAGATAGACCCATAGTTCCTTTTGAGAATATGCATAGAATCTCTGAGTCGGTTTATGCAAGTCCGTCTGTCCGTCTGTTGGTGTTAAATTGTAAACACAGTACAGGTCACATTTATAACCCGATTTGGATGAAATCTGGCACAGCTCACATGTTTGGCCCAAGGACGAACCCTATTGAAATTGGGAAAAATCGGTTCAGATTTAGATATAGCTCCCATATATATTTTTGTCCGATTTAAGGTAAATGGTGCACCAAAGACCCTATATATCTGTCGATTTGCACGAAATTTGGTATAACGTACTGAATTGAGCCTAGAATGATGTCTGCCGAGTTTCGTGAAAATCGGTCTAGATTTAGATATAGCTCCCATATATAGTTTCGTCCGATTTCATGTAAATGGTGCACTAACGTACTGAATTGAGCCTAGAGTGATGTCTGGCATGTTTCGTAGAAATCGGTCCAGATTTAGATATAGCCTCCTTATATTATAGATTGATTTTAAGTAATTGACGCACCAAGGAACCAAAATATGGCTGATAGGAACAAAACGTTCTGAAATTAGTATAACTTAGCTTCCATATATATTTTCGCCCGATTTTAAGTAGATTGGGCATCAACCTCCTCGTGTTAATCAGATTGACATCAAATTTTTCACAACGTACAAAATTTATCATCAAATTACGTAGTTGCGTTTTCTAGAAGTACAGACATAGCCCAAAGGATGATCTATTGATATTTGTTTGAAGTCGATTTACCCAATAAGAAACCATTGTACCAAATTTCAGCAAATTCGGTTTAAAAACGCGCCTAAAACCCCAAAAAAAAACCGTAAATTGGCGGTACTGTTATGTGGGGGCTACCAGAAAAAGTTGACCGATATTTATAAAATTTTGTGGAGACATTTGGTACCCAAAATAAATCAATGTACCAAATATCAGCGAATTCGGTAAAAACACGCTCAAGAACCCCAAAATATCGAAAATTGAGCGGTACCCTTATATGGGGGCTATGCATAAACATGGACCGATATAGCCCGTCTTCGAACTTAACCTGCCTGCAGACAAAAGACGATTCTATGCATCAATTTTTGCACAACGTACAAAATTGAGCATAGAATTACGTAGTTGCGTTTTCTAGATGTACAGACATAACCCAACGGATGACCTATTGATATTTATTTGAAGTCGGTTTACATACTTTTGTCCCAATGTAACAGACGAATGACATGTTTATGGATAGATCTAGGTAGATTCACATTTCCAATTTCATGATAATAGTCCTGTTTAATATACCCATAGTGGTGAAGGGTATCATATAGTCGGCCCCGTCCGACTTTTTTTTATTATACTACCCGTGACAATGTTTAAACGTTTCTCTTAGTACCGACTATGCGTTTCGATGATCACTGATATTAAGCGGCAGCAGTTGCTGCTGCTCTGCGTGGGGTGAATTGTACTTTTGATAAGACTTTTGAGAGAGTATTTTATAATTTCTGCTTATTTGTTTTGATTTTTAATGGAATACAAAACTGATACAGTTATGAAATAAATTTTAATCATGAAAATAGACTAACAAATGATGTGATATAGACACAGAAAAAAAATAATTCGTATGAATAGTGTTTAGAAAGTGTTGCCAATGTTGTAATTTCTACATTTTATGAATGCAATTTATAAAACTTTAGATACTGGTTTCTTGTCAGAGAGAGTAAAAAAACAGCTTTGGAGTGTGTGTTTAGTGGGTTTCTATGCCATAGAAATTCTTTGTCGTTTTTATTTTTTTGTCAAAATAATTAATGAAAATACATATGCGAATTTTATAACATCAATGCAGAGGTCGGTAAGAGTGTCTTAAATAAAGAAATAACGGAATTCAAAAGTAATCACAATCGAGTGTATGGCAAGTCGTCTGTTGTTACCAACAGAAACAGTACTCCAATAAATAAAAACCAGTAAGGAAAGTAGTAAAGTTGGACTGGGCCGACTATATATACCCTTCACCACAATATGTATATTCTACATATCTATCCTATCTGACACCGCCTTTTCGAAGGAACATTGACATAATATGAACGAACTTAAATATGTGATATTTATCTATATGTGAACCGACTTACATCATCCATACATATGATATTCTGCAACCTATTCAAAACTTCATTTCATTCAGGCATATTTAGAGTCGTTTGCGTAAATTGGGACAAATTTATTTAAATCGATATATAGTAAACATGATACACGTTTGGTATGCCGCACTATTCAAAATTTAATCTCAATCAGACACCCATTCCGTATATATATGGAAGCTATGTCTGCATATGCACCAATTTCAAAAAAAGCAAAAACGCAATAACGTCATTTCTTGTCAATCTTGTTCCGTTTATTTGCGAACACTGGCACAAAGACATAATACCCTGTACCACAGTGTGGTGAAGGGTATAATTAGGAATTTGGTGCACAATTTACAATAAATCGGACGCAAAAAAAAAAATAAATAAGTGCATGTCGAAAAATGTATAGGGACTTTAGTACACCATTTACTATAAATCGGACGACAATATATATGGGAGCTATATCTAAATCTATCAATAGGGTTCGTCCTTGGGTCAAATAAATGAGATGTGCAAAATTTCATCCAATTCGGATCATAAACGTTTACAATTTAACATGCGAAAATATATAGACTGTATCTAAACGAAAGATTTGCATAAATTAACACACAAAGTGATTCTATGCATTTTCTTAAAGGGAAGTATATGTATATATATAAATTTCCAAATTTTCCTGTCATACTGTAATTTGTTTACAATTTACATATGCATAAATACAGAAAGAGATATGCATATTCTAAAAGGAACCATGTGTATATCAGTGTGTTACAAACATATGGGAATACAAATTAAAAGAAAATCATATTTTAGACTAATGCCAAATTTATTCAAATTACATATTGCAACAAATAAATAATACACATATATACATACATACAAAAAAAAAAAGAAACTTAAGACAATATCTACATGCTACTAAGATCAAATGCTCCACGATACTTCAGCCATGGCAATATGGCTTCCATGTGTTTGCGATAACGATCATTTGAATACATGGCCATTTTAAAGGCCATCGCTTTGTCACTATCACCCAAGAAATGTTCCAAATTGGCATCTTTCGTGGGATCCAACAGTACAGCAGCCATAACTCCCGTTGCCGAAAATAGACCCCAAATACCATGTCTAAAGAGTGTGACATGAATATCCTGTAGCGTTGGCAATTTCTTACCATATTTCAACAATTTCAAATTCTTATACAAATGTTCATGATAGAAACGTATGAAATAATCAAACTGACTCAATTTCAAATCATAATTAGCTGAGGATATGATAAAATAATAGAGATCCTGTGCCGGTGTACCATATTTGGGTAACTGGTAGTCTATCAAAAAGGTTTCCTTGATATTACCCAAATCATCGTATTGAAACATAATGTTATTGGCCCAGCAATCACCATGATTGAGGACATTAAACTCATTGGGATCGATTTCCACCGTACGATATAATTCATCAAGCAGTTCTTTTTGAAGGGATTCCTGCAATGAAGAATTTCGGAATATGTTAGTAGATGTTTAAACATTTGTTCAATTCATAAAATTTTGAATTAAGGTTTGGTTTTTTTATAAATGTAATCTACACTATTTTAAAACTTTTGAAATCAATAAAATTCCCCCTTTTGTACACTTACCATTTCATTGTAATATATTTCATGGTTGGAGTACTTCTTGAGGCAAGCCATAAACATTGAATGTATGTTATCATGCATTGATTTCATCATTGCTTTCGATTCTTCACGGAAAAATCCATAAAGATATTTAGCTTCATAGCCGCCATTGAGTTCAGCGTATACAGCCGATGCAGCATGCCACATAGCCAATTTACGTAATACTTCATGCATATGTTCCTTATTAAGACCTTCCAGACGATTGGTATTCTTAAAACCTTTTGGTGTTAAATTCTCCAATAGGATATGCGCTTCATTTGTGGGCAGCTCATAACAATTGGGACCAAATATAATCTGCACACCCGCATCAGCATACAACTTTTCAAAGGCAGGTACTATCGTCTCATACATACTCTTCTCTACATCGAACATGTCGTGTGCTTTTAACATTTCACGTACCATATCACTGTCGTGATTTGTTTTCATCATATATGATATTTGTTTTATTGTGCCGTCTGGAATGAGATTTTTAGGTTAGGTTTCTTATTGTAATCGCGTCAAAGAGCAAACAACGTCGGATGGTAAAGTTATGACAGCGGTCACTTGAATGACTTGAATGACATTATTGCATTTTGTTGAAATTGGTGCAGATGTAGCTAGCTTCAATATGTATTTCGAACAGGTCTCTGATTGAGATTAAATTTTTAACATTGCTACGTACCGAATAGCGTGTATCAAGACATGAGTATGTTCCTTCGAGGGAAAATTGACCCAAAGTGGTGAAGGGTATCATATAGTCGGCCCAGTCCGACTTTACTACTTTTCTTACTGGTTTTCTGTTGAATTTATAAATATATTTGTACACCCTTCACATTATTGTGCTTCATGTTATTACGTATTTGTGCATATGTTTGTGACAGGTAAAAGGAAACGAGATACACTCATGATTCCTTTTGAGAATCACATTCTGAGTCGATTTATGCATGTCCGTCCGTCTGTCCATGTTAAATTGTAAACAAAGTACAGTTCGCATTTTTGATCCGAATTCGATGAAATTTGGCACAGCTCATTTATTTGGCCCAAGGACGAACCTTATTGAAAAATCGGTTAAGATTTAGATATAGCTCGCATATATATTTCATCCGATTTTAGGTTAATGGAACACCAAACTCCAAAAGTTTTTCCGATTGAGACAAAATTTTGCACAACGTACTTAACTAGGTCCAAATTGATTCCTGTTGTAGTTTCGTTGAAATCAGTTCTGATTTAGTTATAGCTCCCATATATAGTTTCGTCCGATTTTATGTAAATGATGCACCAAACTCCCAATGTTTGTCCGATTGAGACTACATTTTGCACAGCGTACTAAAATTAGTCCAGGTTGATGTCTCTGAAGTTTTGTTGAAATCGGTTCAGATTTAGATAAAGCTCCTATGTATAGATTCGTCCGATTTTATGTAAATGGTGCACCAAACTCAAACTTTTGTCTGACTGAGACGATATTTGGCATAAGGTATGGAATTGAGACTAGGATAAAGTATGTTAAGTTTCATTGAAGTCGGATCAGGTATAGATATATCTCCCATATATATTTTTCGTCTCCTAGTGAGATAAAATTGTGGACAGATTACTGTACTGCAGCATGCAATTGGTGCATGCCACTGTTCAATTAGGTCTATATTTACATATAGCTCCCATTCATATTTTCTCTTGATTTCATACAAATTGTACACCAAAGAATCGAATTCTGACCAATTGATATGCAATTTTTATAGATTTCAGAATGGTATGTGTATGTGTTTTATTGGTTCGCATATTTTACGAATTTAATTTCGCCCGATTCCATTTCAATGCTCGTTTGAAGATGCTATGTCTGTTCTATCTACATCTCTGTTATGTTCTATCCATCCATCTACATCCATCTTAGCATCTCTTGTATGTGCCCAAAGTAGTGAAGGGTATCATATTGTCAGTCCCATCCGATGTTTGAATTTTCCTTATTGGTTTTAGAATTGCGACCCCTGCAAACATGATCTTATTGCGATGAAAATTGCTGACCACACATTTTTTCTCTTGATATGGGAAAATTATAAAATGTTATTTGGTGGCAAGCACTGTGGTTCAGAATCGGTTTTCCTGGCCAAAAGTCAGAAACTTTTGAACTTTACATATATATATATATATATTTATATTGTTTAATGTACTGCAGTAACATAGGATTCTATATTAACTTCAACATGCAGGCGGAAAACGGTAAGGGAAACAATAATTGGCGATGTAGGCTATCTGAGTCAGCCGGTCAAAAATGCAGTGATTTGTTCGGACTCCTTCGGTCTCTGTTCGGGTTTCAAATTACTCCCAAAACTTAACACAAAAGAAATTATGGTATATGAATTGACTAGTTTTGCCGAAAAACTTTACTTTAAATCGAGAATCGAGGTTTCTTCAATTTCTTCTTCGATATATTATCATATCAGTTGAAATCAAGGGAGGATCGAGTCCACCAGTAAAACCTATTTCAGGATTTTCATACCGTTCTTCGGTTCAGACAGCTCCTTCCTATTTGGTATTTTACTTTGTAGGCAATTGGTGGTCGATCGCCATCGGAAGAAGCAATTTTGTAACTCCAACAAATTACTGTGTTTTGATATGTCGAATTGTTATTATTTGAGTAAACTATCATTTTACTTTCGCTGGCTTTTGCACGAAAATCTAATGATTTGATAACATTTTTAACCGTTTTTCTTGAATAAATTATTGCGAACTGGTAATATAAACAGAATACACAACAAGTGGCACTTTCTATTGTTATTTTTTGTTGCGTAGTATTTCAGAATTTTTATTTTTTTAATAAAAACTCATTCACATTTTCACTTTCCGCTTACCATCTAATTCCGTTTCGATTTCAATTCTCAACATAACGGTGGCATAATTTTCACCAGCTCCGGCAGCTGGTTTAATTTCAAAAGATTTAATTGCCTTAAAACCCTGCACAGTTTTCTTTAGGACATCTTCGAATAGATTTGCTTTGATCCATTTCGGAATGGAATCAGCGGTGGTACCGTTTGCGTTAGCAGTCATATTTTTTTGTTCAAACTATTCAGAACGTCACGTTGTTTGCGTTAAGCCTTTCTTTTGCTACTGACTGTGCGTCGCTTCGATGATCGGTGATATTCAGCGGCAGCTATGTGTGGGGTGAATTGTGCTTTTGATTAAGCTTTCAAAAGAGAATTTTATTGTTTAATGTTTATCAAACACACACATACTTACACACACACGTGCTCTTAATTTGTTCTAACATAAATAATAGTAACGGCGATTGAATATTTCGTCATATTAGGGAGTTAAAAATCTTTTCGTTTTTTTAATATGTTTTTTTTTTGGAATTCGAATTTGGGGTCAACATATTTAAATGGAACACAATGATGATAAATATATCTTTATCGAGGAAGTGAATTTAAAAATGTATAAAGGGTCAAAATAGATCTACTATTCTCGATAGCATCCATATATGGCCTCCAAACATACATTTCGGCGAGGGTTAGTAGTTTTATAGTGCGATATAGTGGAAGTCCGAGTTTCCTGGTCCCATTAGTTTAATTCCGGGTTTAAAATATATTTATATATAAGAACTTAGTTTTTATCAATTGTCAGTCAGTGCACCATGATTACAAAAAAATAATTAGTAGGATCAACAAAGAGTATTATAGAAATAACACACACACTCACTTTATAAGAATGGGTTGGTGACCTTTACTTCACGTCGAGATAATAAAGTAGGTCTATGAAAGTATAGCTGATAAGGTAATACGTGACCGCATATATATTAGAAAACATTAGTTATCACGTGTAGAAATAAAATCGTGTTCAAAATGCCCTCTTGGGGTAAATATATGTTTACAGTTATGTATCTGCGTTAATAACACTGAGCGACGGAATTGAGTTGAGAATATTGGTGGAGCATTTACTTTTTGGAAATACAAATACTTGATAAGATATCTCTAATTTTTAAAAAAATTGAGAAATGAATTGGCTTTTTATACCTCCTACCTTAAGATGGAGTGTACATTACAATTGTCATTCCGTTTGCAACACATCTAAATAAATATTCTTGATCAGAATAATATTCTATATCGAATTATGCATATCTGTCTGTCCGTTGAAATCATGATAGAGCTCGCAAAATTTAAATTGCTATTTTCAACCGAATTGGTTGAAATATATCTTTATCTATAAGTGATATAAATATATGATCTTTATCTATAAGTGAACCGACTACCATCAATCCATACACATGCATTTCTGCAATCTATGCTAAATTTCATTTCATTGGGGTAGATTTAGGACCTTTGCCTACAATGGGACAAATTTATGTAAATCGATTTATAGTACACTTGATACACGCTACTCGGTTTGCCGTATTCGGGCACCTGTTCAAAATATATATAGAAGTTATCTGCACCAATTTCCAAAAAAAAAAAAAAAAATAAGGAAAGGTTTAAAGTCGGACTGGGCCGACTATATGATACCCTTCACTTTGGGTATATTGTACATATGTATCCTAACAATTGCATGTCTATGTTCCCTCTTTCTCCAACCTATCCTAACTTTAATTTCATTCGAGCAGATTTAGAGCCGCCTGCGTAACATGGGAAAAATTTATGGAAAACGATTTATAGCAAAATTGATACACGCTATTCGGTACGCCGCGTTGTTAAAAATATAATCTATATGTGGGAGCTATATCTAAATCTGAACCGATTTTCACTAAAATTAACACACATCTCTCTAGACTTAATTCAGTACGCTATGCCAAATTTTGTGCAAATCGAAGGATATATATAAGAAACTTGGTGCACCATTTACATAAAATCGGACAAAAATATATATATGGGCAATATTGCCTTTTTTTAACATAGCTGAAGCGGAGGTTCAACTCGGGAACTACTTAAGTATATAAAAAAAGTGAATAGTTTTGGGTTAATTGATCTGTCGTTGCAAACTGTTCATGATGTGTCTACTTTAATGTAAAAAAATGTGTAAAAACAGGTTGAGGCGAACCAGTTTTTTATGTTCTCTATCGATTTGTGACTAATCCACGCATTGCACGGTCTTCGTGTCAAAATAAAACTAGAAGCCAACAAAATGGGGACTACGGCCCTTTAAATGATGCTGACATTTTGAAGCCCGATTTTGAGTGTTTTTTTAATTTTACTTCTAGTTTTAATACCCAAACAGGAATTTATAAAAATCGATTATAAGATTATTGTAGTCGCGAATCTGCGTAATTTGATATGTATTTTGTGTATGTAGTATGCACAGCTTCAGAGTAATACTCATCCGAAGGTGCGAATTTTGTGCGATCAAATTTCTAAAAACCTATTTTTCGGGCCAAATTTTTAGATCTGTCAACTGAATGATATGGGTACCCGCGATCAATAAGGTTTTTTACGTTTCGGATGATATAAAATCTTCTTCGTGAAAATCCATCTACTAGAACGGCGGGAACTGGCCTTCCAAAAACACGAAATTTGCCAAAAAATGTTTTTGAAAATATCGCGGATTTATTTACGTTTTCTGTGTATCATTTCCGCTTCAATAAATGACCTCATACGGATTATGATCTTTTTCGAAATGAGAACTTTAAAAACTTCAGCCGAAAGAGAGATGTACGCAATTTATCTCAAAAATAGATTGTGCTGGCACATTCATGGTTCTTAATAGACCACATTGAAATGGTATAGATCGATGTATTTTTTTAGGGTGCACACCGAAATCGGATGCGCGTTAATGGCATATGGAGTTTTCGGAAATTATTCGCGTTTTACGATTTTTTGGGTACTTCAATGTAACGTGTGGCACATCTTAGCCGTCAAATGAAATTTCGCAAAATATATATGGATTGGAAGATAAACTTCCTGGAAACCGCATGCACATCAAATGATTTTGAGAATTACGCGATTTACACGCAATTTAAAATGTATATTTCATAATATTATTTTATTTTAAGATTTATTCCTATTTATAGAATTCTAAGATTTATCGGACACAAAAAGTGATTTTTATTATATACGTAAATTTTTCGGCGTAAAATAGCAGAATAACACCAACATTTTTTTCTGAAATTTCTTGTATACAATTAAAAAAATAAATATGATGACATTATTTTTTCGAACCAAAAACAAATATTTTTCCTCAATATCTTGTTTTGCTGTCGCTTTGATTTAGAAACCGCTACACGGACTTGTGTGATTTTTATATCATTTGATTCACCATGGTGTTTAGATTATGTAGATATTTTAAATTAATTTTTAAGGTGTGTGTATGTCATTAATGTAATGAAAATATTGATGTAATCTGCAATATTTTTTTATTTTTCTCATATTTCGCGAATATGTGCCACTTTATCGTGATTATTATAATATATTCATAATCTTATTTTACGGAGGAAGGTATATATCAACATTTTTGGTCAATATAATAAACGGCGAAATTTTAAGATTTTTTTCTTATGCCCAAAATTTGAACCTCGATAACTTTTGCGCGCATCAACCAAAAATTTGATCGCGAACGGTTTCGGAGTCAGAACATTTTTATCTATATGTGTACCAAAAATCATAGATGTGCCACAAAAAAACTGATTTTTTGAAAATGGAATATTAAAAAATTGGCAATATTGCCCATATATATCGGACAAAAATTTTCCTGAAACTCAGCACTTATCATTCTAAACTCAATTCAGTATGCTATGCCAAATTTCGTGCAAATCGAAGGATATAAAGGGACTTTGGTGCACTATTTATCTAAAATCGGACGAAAATATATATATGAGAGCTATAACTAAATCTGAACCGATTTTCACGAAACTTAACACATCATGCTAGACTTAATTCATTACTCTGTGCCAAATTTCGTGCAAATCGAAAGATATGTAGGGATATACTTTAAATCGGACGAAAATATATATGGGAGCTATATCCAAATCTGAACCGATTTTCAGGAAACTTGACTCACATCGTTCTAGACTTAATTCAGTACGCTATGCCAAATTTCGTGAAGATCGAAGTATATATAGAAACTTTGGTACACAATTTACCTTAAATCGGACGAAAATATATATGGGAGCTATATCCAAATCTGAACCGATTTTCGCGAAACTTTGCACACATTATTCTAGACCTAATTCTTTACGCTGTACCAAATTTCGTGCAAATCGAATGATATATAGGGACCGTTTACATTAAATCGGACGAAAATATATATGGGAGCTATATCTAAATCTGAACCGATTTTTTCCAATTTCAATAGGGTTCGTCCTTGGACCGAATATGTGATCTATGCCAAATTTCATCCAATTTGGATTATAAATGCGACCTGTACTTTGTTTACAATTTAACATCGACAGACAGACGGACGGACGGACGGACATGTATAAATCGACCCAGAAAGTGATTCTATGCATATTCTCAAAAGGAACCATGTGTCTATCTCGTTTCCTTTTGCCTGTTACAAACATATGCACAAAGACATAATACCCTGTAGCACAGTGTGGTGAAGGGTATAAAAACATACACACACAATGACGTCATTCTAGTCTTAATTAGATACGTTTTGCAAAATATATATAAGAAAATATAAATGTGGAAGCTATATTTAAATCTGAACCGATTTCGACGAAACTTGCCAGAGATTAATTTATAACAAGTTCAGGTCATTGTACAAAATCGTTTGACAATTGGGCAAACCTTGGGTCTTTAGTGCACATTTTACACAAAATCGTAATATGGGAGATATATCTAAATCTTAACTTAACACACATCATTCTAGACTTAATTCTGTACGCTATGCTCAATTTTGTGATAATATATATATATATATAGGGGAGATATATCTAAATTTTAACCGATTTTCCGGAAACATAACGCATATCATTCTAGACTTAATTCTGTACCCTATGCCAAATTTCGTGTAAATCGAATGATATATATGGACTTTGGTGCACTATCTACATAAAATCAAACGAAAATATATATGGCAGCTACATCAACATCTGAATCGATTTTTACGAAACTTAATACACATAACTCTAGACTCAA